TAATGCTTATCTGAACTTCCTCAGTGTCTGTTGTTATGTCCCCCTTTTCGTTTCTGATCTTGTTAATTTGCACATTCTCCCCACCTTTTGATTAGTTTGGATAGGGGCTTGTCAATCTTGTTGATATTCTCAAAGAACCAGCTCTTTGTTTCATTGATTCTTTGAATTGTTTTCTGCATTTCTATTTTGTTGATTTTAGCCCCCAGTTTTATTATTTTCAGTCTTCTACTCCTCCTGGGTGAGTCTGCTTCTTTTTTTCTCTAGAGCTTTCGGCTGTGCTGTTAAGTCTCTAATGTGAGCTTTCTCTGTTTTTATAATGTGGGCACTTAGAGCTATGAACTTTCCTCTTAGCACTGTTTTCATAGTGTCCCATAGGTTTGCATATGTTGTGTCTTTATTTTCGTTGAATTCAAGGAAGACTCTAATTTCTGTCTTTATTTCTTCCCTGACCCTGGGGTGGATCAGTAGTTGACTGTTCAGTTTTCATGAGTTTGTAGGCTTTCTCAGGGTAGAATTATTGTTAAATTCTAACTTAATTCAATGGTGATCCGATAAGACACAGGTGGTTACTAATATTTTTTTTTTTTAGCATCTGTGGAAGTTTGCTTTGTTACTGAGTATGTGATCAATTTTCAAGAAGGTTCCGTGAGATGCTGAGAAAAAGGTATATTCTTTCCTATTTGGGTGGAATGTTCTATAGATGTCTGTTAAGTCCATTTGATTCATTACCTCAGTTAGTTCTCTTATTTCTCTGTTAGGTTGCTGTCTGATTGAACTGTCCATTAGTGAGAGAGGAGTGTTGAAATCACCCACTATTAGAGTGTGGGGTTTGATGTCTGCCTTGAGTTCAATTAATGTTTCTTTTACATCAGTGGGTGCGTTTATATTAGTGGCATAGATATTCAGTATTGAGACTTCCTCGTGATGATTTGTTCCTGTTATGAGTATAAAGTGTCTATCTCCATCTCTTCTGATTGATTTTAATTTGAAATCAATTTTGTTAGATATTAATATGGCTGTACCCACTTGTTTCTTTGGACCATTTGATTGAAAAACCTTTTCACAACCCTTTACTCTGATGTAGTATCTGTCTTTGAAGTTGAGGTGTGTTTCTTGTAAACAGCAGAATGTTGGATCCTGTTTTCGCATCCAATCTCTTAATTGGTGCCTTTCTATAGATAAATTTAGTTCATTGATTATTAATGAATTATTATTGAATGATTATTGAATGAATTGAATGATTATTAATGAATTATTAGTTCATGTATTATTAATGACCAGTGGTTGTTAACTCGATTACTTTTATTTATTTATTTATTTATTTATTTATTTATTTTGGTGGTAGAGTTTGTGTGTTTCCCTTCTTTGAGTTGTGCTGGTGAAGGGTTTTTAGATGTCTGAGTTATTTTGGGCAATGTTGGGATCCTTGGGTTGTGATTTTCCTTCTATTACTTTCTGTAAGGCTGGGTTTGTGGCTACGTATTGTTTAAATTTGTTTTTATCCTGGAATATCTTGTTTTCTCCATTTTGGTGAATGACAGCTTGGCTGGGTATAGTAGTCTGGGGTTGTATCCATGGTCTCTTAATTTCTGCAGCACATCTATCCAAGACCTTCTGGCTTTCATGGTTTCCATAGAGAAGTCAGGTGTATTTCTGATAGGTTTACATTTATAAGTTACTTGACCTTTTTCCTTTGCAGCTCTTAATGTTCTCTCTTTATTCTGTATGTTTTGTGTTTTGATTATTATATGGCGAGGGAATGTTTTTTTTGGTTTTTGTTTCACTTCCAGAAAAAAACAAAGCAAAACAAAACACAGATGTAGGCAGAGACTGCTTTTTCATTTCCAGGTCACTTAGACATGAAATAATCACACAGAAAATATATTATTTGCAATACTGTTTGGCCAATAGCTAAAGTGTATTGCTATCTCTCTCTCTCTCTCTCTCTCTCTCTCTCTCTCTCTCTCTCTCACACACACACACACACACATACATATATATATACATATATATATATATATATATAGTGTATCGCCACAAGGTTGTGACCTACTGGCAAGATTCCGTCCAGTGTCTGTCTCCTGTGTCTGCATCTGTCTCCTGCAATGGCTCCATGACTTCTCCCTGACTCCAGCTACTCTCTTTATATATCTTTTCCACCCTGGCTATATTCTGTTAAGCCCTTGGCCAAAGGAAGCTTCTTTATTAACTACCTGGGACCATGTTGGTATCTGAGGGCCATGTTGCTGCCATGGTCTCACTAATCTGGATGGCCTGTGCTGCCATCAGGTCCATGATGATGTCCAGCCAGAGCTTCTGCAGAGAGCCATGCCTGGTTTCATATTCCTGTTGCAGCTGGGGTCTGTGTTGATGTCCATGGCCCTTGTTGCCATGGGAGTATTGGGAACCATGCATGTTGAAATCCAAGGGCCACAGTGATTCACAGCATACAGAGGGGAATCCCGTATCACAGAGAATGTGCTGCAGGAGCAAAATTTGAGCAAATGCCTTAGATGCAGACAATTTGAAGACAGGTAAATAAAATTTAAAGCAGTCCAGACATTTTTGCAGATTTTCTATTCTGTCAACTGTGGTTTTGTGCCTATAGTTTGACCAGTGATTTAAAAGATCACCTTATCCCATATCTTCTGGCCCAATCCTGATGTGCCAAGGCATGTAACTCCCCACTTGTGATTTTTTTTCCTTGAAAAGCCTGCCATCCCCAGGGTTTGCTGCAGGACTTCCTCCATTCACTGTGTTGGTATGTTGGAGAGTTGTGGTCAGAGCTCAAGCTTGCCAAACCAGGATCCTTGTGTGTTTACATCAGAAATTGGCTCCATGGTTTACTGGGGGTTCTTCAACATGGGCATAGCAATAACAAGCCACATATTTTTAGTCCTCTAAACAAGTTTGTTTGACCCATCAGCATTGGACATGCTTGGTTATATTTGGGCGGGATGTATGTTGGCAGGAAATATGTCTGGATTTATGCTTGCCCCTGATTGGACCTGATTGGAAATGCAATAAATTTATGGGTTTTCCTTTTTAAGCTCTTGTCATACTTGATTTTGTCCATTTCCCAGGAACATGGGTATAAACCAAGCCACAGCCCATCCTCCTGCCCAGTATTTAAAGTTTGTTTCAAAACTGACTTTAAACTGTGATAATGGTCTTATTCTCCATTGGTAGGTGGATATGGGATTCCCCTTTGTATGCTGTGATTTCTATTGATTAATAAAGAGACTGCATTGGTCTGTGATAGGGCAGAGTAGAGCCAGGTGGTGAAAACTGAACTGAATGCTGGTAGAAAGAATGCAGAGTCAAGAGACACCATGGAGATGCCAGAGGAGAAAGACATAAACTGCCAGCCAGAACCTTGCCAGTAGACCCTGAGCCTTGTGGTAAAATATAAAATAATAGAAATGGGTTGATTTAATATGTAAAGTCTTTCTAGGAATGTGCTAGAGTCATTGGTCAAATAGTGTTTCAAATAATATAGTTTCTGTGTGATTATTTGGAGAGTCTGGGCTGCTGGGACCTCTAACAACAGATTGGTGCTCCAACATGTGCAAGCTAAATCCACCTAAAACCTGAGTGGGCTTGGAAAGGAATTCTAGACACTAATAAACAAAGTTTAGCTGCATTTTTTTCGGATGGGCTCTGCTTGCTGAAAGCATGTTGCAGTTCCTTTAAGTAAGGTCTTGTTGAATCAGTGGTAGCAAAAACAAAACAAAACAACAACAACAATAAAAATCATGTGGTTTCAAAGCAGTGGCATCCTTGTTTGTCAACACAGATGGCACTGACTCTTTCAGGAGGTCCAGCCAAGGGACATTTAAATAGGGTTTGTAAGAAAGCATATTACAAACTGCTTAATGGCTCAACATAGAGCTGTTGCATACTTGGAACTGGGGTGGTGTGTGCAGCACACAGAGGCAGTGACCATGCCTCTGCCATGTTCAACTGGGTGGAGCCAAAAGGCAAAGCATCCTTACTCCTAGTCATGCTGACACTTAGCTTTTTAAGAAGTGCTTAGTATTTTAAGAAGCATTCCTGGACAGAAAAGGATTTCAGATATACAATAGGACAGATTCAGTCATAAAAGACCTCTAAACAAGATACAGTGTGTTTTAAAAATGTACATAGACTTGGGAGAGAGAAAAAAAGAGTAAAGATCCAGTAAGTGTAATATAAAAGAGTGCAGACTGTTATAGGTTAAAGGAGTAAAGATAATAAAATAAATATTAAACTTGAAGAAAAAGTAATAGATTAAGAAAAATAAGCCACATAAAGATTGAATATACACAGAGAATCTGAATTATGTTTATTATTGTGTTTTCTTTGAATTTTTTGACTATGAAGGAGGTAAGGTAAGTATGGACAGGCATTTCATTGTATGGGTTGCTAAGTTAAGCCAACATATAAATTTTTAAAGGTGTCTTGATTTCAGAATTTAAGTCTAAGGCTATGTTACTTTGGAAAATGGGTTCTTATTTTGTTTCCAGAGAAGATGATAACCTATGGATTACTTCCAGACTAATGTGGTTTGATGGACCAAGACCCTCCGATAGGTCACTGTGAACACTCCCAAAAGTTACTTCATTCAGCAAAAAGTGGAGGCAGTTTGAAGAGAATGATGCCCAAGCTCCCTAAATGATTGTTTATAAATGTTTGTTTACATTTAAAAAGGGGTATGATATAGAGAAGAATCGTTTGTATTGGTATGAATCAATTTAAGATCAATTCTGTTATGTGTGTATTTCTGCTCTTGATTGAGGTATTGTGTGCACAGCTCATTTAAAACTGTAATATATAATTAATAAATACAGGTTAATAGTCATCTATAATAGTCTAGCTTGTAGTCATGATGTTAGGCTTTATAGATAGATAGATAGATAGATAGATAGATAGATAGATAGATAGATTTCAGTTAGACAGGTATTCTTCAAATCTTTCAGAGACCTACAGAATATAGCATTTAAAATGTTCTAAAAATTTAGGACTTTTCATGACAACGAGTCACATCTGCCCCTGGCAAGACCAATTACTTCAAGAGGATGATGGGCACAGAAGAGGCTCCTCATGGAGTTGGTTATCCATTTGGGCAAGAAACTGCTCTTGCCTGGACTGCTTGATGTTATCCTATATGAACTGGACATGCAGGGTTCAAGAAAAATGACTTCTGAAGCTTCCTAAAGAAGGTGAGACAGTCCTTCCGGGTTTCTGCTTCATGAAAGAGTCTGTCAGACATTATGTAGGACACAGAAGAAAGTGACTGTAAACTGCCAATATAGGTGGAACTGTCTTTGAAATTTCCTCCTTCATGGAAAAGTCTTCTGGATACTATGAGCCTGTAGGCTAAAGATGAAATGGATGCTCCAGCAATACAGAAAAAAATCAGAGTGACTGTCCTGGCAGCGGGATGTCTTTGTCAATTCTAGAGTTTTAGAAGTTGTTTACTTAGGTAATATTATATCCTTCTGGAGTCTTTGATGGAGTTGAAGAATATATAGTTATAATTATAGTTTTCCCTAGTTATAATAAAATATAGTACATATAAATATTGTAACTGTAATTCTTTTTTGATACCTGTTTTTATATGTAATTTTACTATGTTAAAATTAAAACCTTGCTTTTCATTTAGAGAGAAAAGGGGAGGTGATGATGAAGGATTTCCCTCTGTATGCTGTAATTCTATTGATTAATAAAGAAACTGCATTGGCCTGTGATAGGGCAAAGTAGAGCAAGGTGGGGAAAACTAAACTAAATGCTGAGAAAAAAAGGCGGAATCAAGAGACACCATGAAGCTGCCAGCGGAGAAAGACACTACAAAGCTAGAGCCTTACTGGCAGGCCCTGAGCCTCATGGTAAAATATAAAATAGGAGAAATGGATTGATTTAATATGTAAGAACTAGCTAGGAATATGCTAGAGTCATTGGCCAAGCAGTGTTTCAAATAATTTAGATTCTATGTGATTATTTCGGGAGTCTGCACAGCCAGGAAACGAACTAGGGGCCTCTAGCATCGGTAGGTGTCCTTTCTCTTTCCCTCTGAGTATTACTGAGTTTGGTAGTTTCCTTAGTTTTCATTTTATAGACACTATAACTAAACTTAAAACTTTAATTCTCAACTCGAAGATCAGCGTTTTCAAAATCACAGGTAGTGTTTGGAAATATAAGTTAGTGCTGCCAAATCTACTCTTACACCCTATTCTGTATAGCTCTTTGATACTTTAAAACTAAACCACAGTTAGTGTAACCGCATAACTCTAAGCCAAAGTGAGCGAGCAGTGCTGTTACCTTGTTGCTTGCCCATTGGCCAGTTCTTTCCTGCCCAGTTCACACAGAGACAGTGACTTCCTCCTGTATTTTCAAGAGATTTCTGTCTTGTTTGGTCCACGGAGGTTGTGTAAAGTTGGGGACAGACCACCAAAGTCTAATAAACCAGAAGCAAAATTTATTTCAGGAAAAAAAACAGATTCCAGAAAAAAAGACAATTAAAAATTAAAATAAAAAATCTCCATGGGGTCCTTCCGGGGACTAATCACAACAAGGGACTTCCGGGTTTTTTCGGGGGGCGGGACAAGGCTATCAGTCACTTGCAGAAAGGAAATGATGAACATCTTCTCCATCCAATGGTGTCCCTTCAGGCTTGGCAGGAAAAAAACAGTTTGAATGCACCAACTTTACACATTGCTGAGATCATTTCACTACTGAAGTTCGCAAACTAAACACACCATAAGACACACAGGAAAAAACACTTTGTGTTCCGCGAGGTGCGCCTCCCTGCTGATTGTTCTGCCAGCCCTGAAGCATTCATTTCCAATCCGGGTTCCTAAATTTGGGCCCCGGACATGCGGTAGCCCTGGTCAGGACGCACCCTGGGCTCGCTCTCCTTTAGCGCCTCGGTCGGGGAAAACCCGCGCCTGCCGGTTGCCTTGGCCCCTCGCGCCCTCGCTGCCTCTGCGCAGCTCCACTTTCACTTTCGGTCGGAGAGCGAGGTTGACGGGCCGAGGTGAAGGTGAGGCGTCTTGGCCAGGCCGAGGGGTGCGCGGGGCCGGTGGGGTACCGGGCTGCGGGCAGCTGCGGGAGGGCTCTGGATAGCTCTCCTGGGCGGGACTAGGACCGGCGCGGTGTGTTGCGTGCAGGGGTTCGCAGCGCGCTTCTCCGCGCGGACGCAGCTGGAGGCTGGCCCGCTGCTGCATTCCCCCGCCCCCCTCCACTAAGGCCTAATGGCGACCAGGGAGGGAGGGGTGGACCTGGGGTTCAGGCCTTGGAGGTCACCTTGAGGGTGTTCAGACGAACGGGGGCTCAGAGGAGAGCATGGAATGTCTTGAAGGCCAGTTCCTTACCTCGGACTCCTGTACTCCCTGGCGAACCCCACCACCGAGTCACTACTTAACCTTTGTAGAGACTAAGTTGTGTTTGAGCAGAGTGAGTGCTTGCTTTTTCTGGGCGCTTCACTCACAAGGTATGCTGCTGGAGTAGTTAATTTCATAAGAGGAAGGAAAGGAGCAAGGAAGCAAAAGCTTTCTTAAGCTTTTGATGACAGTTCTTTGGGTAACTCAGCTTTGGAAAGAAAACTTTTTGTTTGTTTGTTTTTTGTTTTTGTTTTTGTTTTTTTTTTATGCCAGAATTACTGTTGGTTCCGTATATGGCAAATAATTAAATTGGCCATAGTTGTCACAGCTCCCACCTCCATTCCTTTCTTGCCCAGATGTGGAAATATATCTTGAATTAGAAGCTTTTTAAGGTGGACCTAATAGAAAAATTCTAGTATACTCACATGGATTTAAATCCACATTGAAATAATTTGCCAGCAGTGATGAGCTGTTTCCAGTGCTTGTTAACTTTACTGTTTGGATTATACTGGGTGAAGTTAAGAAGCACTTGTGTTCCTGATTGTTCATTTATTTTGCATTGGTTGCCCTAATACAAATGGAACATCATCCAAACACTTGTATTTAACTTCCTTGAGGAGCACGAAAAGTCAGAATCATCACAGACAGCTCAGTAAGATTTCTAAAATGGCACTCTTGAGTTAAATTTAGGAGATAGAGCCTGCCACAAGTTAACAATGAACAATTTTTCAGTTTCATCATATGAAAAAGGGAAGTAATTTACGGTGTTCTTGAAATTACAAAGACCATACATAGGCTCTTAATAAATATTTGTGTTATCCATTATTGAAAAAACTTAAGTTTATTTTGATATTTACAGCAACCTTGTGAGGGGGGTATTGCTCATTTTACACATAAAGAAAATAAAACAAGAACTAAAGTAACCTCACCAAGGTTACTTTTTAGAGAAAGACTAAAAGCCAGATTGTCCTTTCTGCCTATGCATACTTGTGCGTGTGTGTGTGTGTGTGTGTGTGTGTGTGTATGATTATGAACTACTAGATCAAGATGACAAGTGTGAAATGCTGGTGGTGCTTCATCAGAGGTCAGTAGTTTTTATTTTCTCTTTGACTTCTGTTCTTTTTAATTGTTAGTGAAGCAGTTGCATATATTGAATAAATTATTGTTTTAGGGAGCTTATTCCCCATGTGTTACTCTTAGAGGATGTTTAATAAAGCCAAGTCTTAGAAGATCATTCAGACTATGAAATGCTATTTTGAAATGAACACTTACCCTAGCTGAGAACAGCCACTTTTCAAGGAAAGATCTAAACATACTGGAACATGATCTCAGATTGGTGGGGATTAGCCAAAGAATTTTAACAGTGAAACACCTCTCATATGCAAGTTATCCTTTTAGGTCCTGTGGAAGATGAAAAGATAGATGCATTATCGCTCTCTCACTTAACTTTCAAATTTTAGCTCTTTCTTTTATTTATAAACTGATTGGCCCATTAGCTCAGGCTTCTTATTAACTAATTCTTATAACTTACATTAGCCCATAATTCTTGTTTGAGTTAGCTACGTGGCTAGGTACCTTATTCGACAAGGCAGTCACATCTTGTTTCTTCTGTGGCTGAGTCATGACTGCAGACTAGGATTTCCTTCTTCCCAGAATTTTCCTGTTCTCATTGACCCACCTCTACTTCTTTCTGGTTGTCCTGCCTCTACTTCCTGCCTGGCTATTGACCAAACAGTGTTTTATTAAAATATAATTGACAGGTTACAGACCATTGTCCCACAGTAACCCCCCACCACCCCTTTTAAGGAACAAAACCACTGAATCTAATATCCTTTGTTTAGCTTTTCTGCTGACCATTATTCATAACAACTTGTAACCAACATTCTAAATAAAGGAATATATCCATAGTCCATTTTTGTTTTGGAATGTGGGCCTAGTTTTCCAGGCTACTTCCTGTTGGTTGGGGGTGCTGATAATCTTATGGGGACCTAAAGAAAATTTAGAATTATCATCAAGTCATGATTGGATGTGATACTTGATCACCTCAGGCAGCAGTCTTGAATCTGTTCTGGATGTAGAACTCAGACATCTGGCCATTCAGAGTTTTTGCAGGTGTTCTTTCTTGTTCAAACCTGATTTTTCTTAACTCAGAATGAATCCTCAGCCTCTCATTTCCTGTGGAAACAAAAACAAAACCTCTTCTCCAAAGTAACATACCTTTTGACGTCAATTTTGAAGTCAAGGTATTTTCAAAATACATATCTTAGATGAATTCAGTAGCACTTATAAACAAATATTTTTGGCAGCTGTTGCTTCTTTCTAAGCATTCAAACAATTCCAAGAGAACATAATAACTACAATATCCAGATTCTCTGTGTGTTTTCCATCTTTACATGGCTTTATTTTAAATCTATTTCTTTTATTTTTAATTTTTGGCTTTTTGAGACAGGGTTACTGTGTTTTTTTGTCATGGAACTCACTCTGTAGACCAGGCTGTCCTTGAACTCACAGAGATCCACCTGTCCCTGCTACTGGGATTAAAGGTGTGTGCTGCCATACCTTGAACTCACAGAGGTCTGCCTGCTTCTGTCTCCCAAGTATTGGGATTAAAGGTGTGTGCTACCACACCCAGCTACTTTCTTTCTTTCTTTTTTATTTTAAGGACTTTAACCTTTTTGTTTTTTCTCCAAAGCCTGAATATATTTTTAACACACTGTAAAGCATTTAAAGGTTTTTTTCATCTTTGAGTCTCTCTTTACTGTGTATCTCTTTCTTTTTCTGACCACATGAGTCTTTAATTTGCTAAGCAATCTGGCTAGGATTAAAGCTGTGGCTTTGACAGCTGGACCCAGCCTATTCTTTAGCTTTCTGAGATTCCAACCTCTTGGTGGAGGTACCACAGGAGCCAGGTTTATTGCCACAACTCTATGGCGTTTCAAGGTCCCTGCCACTTACTTCAAATGCAGTACTTGTTATGCCCTGCTTTAAGCTTGTCTCTTAGGAATCCTTTCTTAGTCGGATTTTTCTTTGGGCTCCCGACTCACAAATAATGACATGGAGATTTATTAATTATAAAAACTCAGCCTGTAGTTTAGGCTTTTTTTTTTTACTAACTAGCTCTTTTTCTTAAAAAAAGAGTATTTATTGTGAATACAGAGCTCTGTCTGCATTTTGCCTGCATACCAGAAGGAGGCATTAAATCTCGTCACAGATGGTTACTAGCCACCATGAGGTGGCTGGAAATTGAACTCAGGACCTCTGAAGGAACAGTCAGTGCTCGTAACCTCTGAGTCATCTCTCCAACCCCCTAACTAGCTCTTATAAGTTAAATTAACTCGTATTTTCATTAATCTGTGTTCTATCATGTGTCCTTATCTCTCTTTATCTTGCACCTCCTGCTTATTTTCTTGATGTTTCTTTGCCCTGCTTAGTATTGTGGACACCCACTTCAGTTCAGACAAGTCAGCTTCAAAGCTGCTGACGTGTTATAGGGTCTATAGGACATCACTGTAGCCAAGACTTCAGCAGAGCTGGATTCTGACTCCAGGACAGAAGACTACTACAAGACTCCACCCGAGGTTGAATGAGCGATGGTGCTTTGCTCATACTCTGCTGCAGCTTTGCCTGACTGCCTTTACCTGTTTAATTCCCAGATGTCCATTTATTGAGCTACTGTAGACCATCTAATATTTCTTCTTTTTTTAATTAAAGTTTGTTCTATTACTTTGTTATTTTATTCTATTATTTTAATTGAACTTAAATACAGTTAAAATTTCAAAGTCAAGTGATGCTTTCTAGTGGGTCTGAAAGTGCTACTAGCCAGTTGTGCTTCAGTTCCATTATTCAGAGACAGAGGCAGGAGGATCACTGCACTCGGAAGGCTAGCCTGCTTTATGTGACAAGTTTCACTACCCGTGGACACACAGTGAGGCTTAGGAACAACAAAAGAGTGAAGAGTTCTCCCAGTTACACAAGGGAGGCAATTTTTAATATCTCAAACTTTTGGAAGATTCCTCTGTGTCTGTTAATTCTTGATTGATGTATTTTGACATTCTATCATAACTTTTAATATTACTGGCTTTTAAATTTTCTTCTCTAAATTTTTCTTTTATTGTTCCTTTAGGTAATTTGAGCAAGGAGATGGTGTCTTTGCTCCTCAAATGGCCACTTACAAACATGTCCTCTTTACTTTCCTTACTGTTGATGTTTTTAGCTGTGTCATCCTTCTCTTGGTGTCAGAGCAGTGATACAGCATCTCCAAAAGCAAGTAATGGGGCCCCATTCCCTTGGAATAACATGAGACTTCCTGAGCATATCATTCCAATTCATTATGATCTCATGATCCATGCAAACCTTAGCACTCTGACCTTCTGGGGAACAACAGAAGTAGAAATCAGAGCCAGTCAGCCCACCAGCACCATTATCATGCATAGTCACCAGCTGAGAATATCTAAGGCCACCCTCAAGAGAGGAGCTGAAGATAGGCTGTCTGAAGAACCCCTGAGAGTCCTGGAGTACCCAGCCCACGAACAAGTTGCACTGCTGGCTTCCCAACCACTCCTTGCTGGACCCCTGTACACAGTTATCATCAACTATGCTGCGAACCTTTCTGAGAGCTTCCATGGATTTTATAAAAGCACCTACAGAACTCAGGAAGGAGAAATGAGGTAACGGGAATTGTTTTCAGCTTCAAGTGTGCCCATACTATCTATCATTTAGATGCTTGTTCCTTTCTAACCGAATTCTGTGCAGTCATATTTTTGTCTTTAACCTGTTAAAGATGACTAAATCTTCTTTGCTTTTTTCACCTTATTTTTCCCTTCCATTTTCATTCCTCTAGCTCTAACAAAGTGAATATCTATTTGTTTATATAATTAGATTTCTGAGCTATAATATATATTTGATTCTTTGTATTAGTTGACCTGTTAGGACAGTTGCCAAAACCTAGGTTCCTTAGTCTTGATTTTTCTCTCAGGTTTGGAGGCCTGTGTTTCCTCTGACTCTGGCTGAAATCTCTCCTTGCTTTGTTGTCTCCTGCTCCTCTCTGCTCTTATCCTTCCTGTGCTCTGTGTACCTAGAATTCAAATTTCAAAATTAGAATACCAGTCATATTGCTTGAGTTCAATAACGTATTAGCTTTATTTCATTTGCAAAGATCCCATTTTCAAATATGGTCACACTTAGACATACTGGAAGTCAGGACCTCAACATGCATTCACAGGTCATATTTTTCTCTTAGTTAATTTTTTTTTTAAAGATGACTCCAATGCCTTGCTTTAGTTCTGCTTTTAAGGAAAGTATGCATTTGGAAAATGTAAACAGCTGTGCTTCTGGGCCAATGTTACCTGGTATGACCAGCTAAGGAATTCATCATGGGCCACAGCAAAACTGAGACTGTGACAAATTTATTGGGATCAATCAGATTTTTGATACCCTCATCAGAAACAGAGTATAGACACAATTACCAGGATCAATACAACTGTAGGTGCCAGGATACAGTGATATTTGTTGTTGGGAGCATAACAGGAAGGTCTGTGTGCCCACAAATCTCTAGAGAAACCAGGAATATTAAGCACAAAGGATTGTCTTTCCAATGGAAAAGAGGAAAAGCCTATTCTATCCAGAAAGCCGAGACTTGGAAGTGGTGATCTGTATTATCTGTTGGGCCAGGCTATATCAAGCTCCCACAACCAGGACCAGAGGTGGCCAATAGTTCAAATGATCTCTACATTATACGTATGAGGACACCAGGCCAGACCCTTAGGCCCTTAAACTAGTATAGGTAGCGTATCTCTAGAAACTATCTTCTTGGAAGAAATGATATGTACCCTGAGTTGAGTTTCAATGTAATTACCCTTCCTTGTTGTAGGAGGAAAACGAACTGGCAGCCTCCTATAACATTTCCTCGTGCAATGGGAATTGTATTACACCAGGAAACTTTCCCCCAAATTATCCATTGGGAATAAACCACTTGTTAAACTTCCCAAAGGGTGATCCATGTTGATAAAGTCAATCTGCACCAGGCTTTCATTCTTATCCCTGCCTGGATACCTGCAGAGACACCTTTCCATTGCCCACCCCCTCCCCACACAGTTTGCTAGCTATGCAGGGTACACAGTATTAATGTGTAAGACCAATTGTCCTGTCTACCTTCCATGCTTTCTTGATTTTTAAGGGAACATAGTAAAAAAAAAAAAAAAACACAAATCAGTCTGAAAGCTTCACTAGGTGAAGGATTTCCTCTATTTCTCAGGATTTGAAAGGCACACAATGCCCCAGAAACCAGGGACTCTAACTTGAAAAACCCACAATGATACCTCTCAAACAGTTAGGCCAGACCAACTGAATGATTCTCTGTAGTGAAGCTCTGTTTTTAGTAGTTTTTATTTTTATTTATCCTTGAAAGTGTTTTTGCCTGCATGTATGCTTGTGTACCACATATGTACCTTGTGCCTGAGGAGGCCAGAAGATGACATTGGATCCTGTGGGACTGGAGTTACATTGTTTATGAGCTGTCATGTGCATGCTACGAATCAAACCCAAGTGTCCCGGAAGAGCAACCAGTGTTCTTTAATCAACCATACACCACTACAGACCTCAAATTAGGAATGAATTTCTTTCTTCGTCTTTCTTCCCCTCCCTCCTTCTCTTCCTTCCCTCCCTCCCTCTCTTCCTCCCTCCCTCCCTTCCTTCCTCCTTCCTTCCTTTCATCCTTTCTTTCTTTCTGTTTGTAGGATGGATCTCACTTTATACCTCAGACTGGCCTTGAATTCACAGAAATCTACCAGCTTCTGCTTCCCAAACGCTGAGCTTAATGTACATAACCACATCTGGCCTATTTAAGGAGGTCTTATGCCAAATTTTAACATCAATATTTTTGTAGATTATGTTGAGTCCATATTCTTTTGATAAAATAAAAGGTCAAAATCAGATTATTCCAAGAAAATTTCATAGCCCCTAGGAGATATTCTTGCAGATTTATTCCTGGATATTCATGCATGTTACTATATGAAAATGAACTCATATTTTCTACTTTAGAAGCAAGGATTTAAAATGTTTTTTATCATTGTACATCATGTCAGTGATTTTATTGAAATCTATTAATTTATATAATATCTAATGTATAGAAATTAAGTTGTTTCAACTTTATAGTGTCAACAATCATTTAAAGAATACCGTTATATATAATGTAAATAAATATTCATGAGAATAAAACCAATAAGCCAAGAGTCTACAATCTCCTGAAAAACCCTGTTTTCTTTCTTCTGACTAAGGTCCTCATTTAAGAGCAAATTGTTAAAAAAATGATGTCTCCCTCAGTTCTTACTTATTTACTCATTAAGACAGTAGAACAATTTTAGGCATATTTATTAATGATATATGTTTCCTTTCTAAATTGCTTATCTCTGAGATTCCATTATGTTATTGAGTGTTTTCTAATCAGTTTAGAGTTCATTGTCAAAGTCTTCTTCCTTTCATATTTTTCTATGTATTTTTTTGATAACAGATTTTGTTATAGAATTTTTCTTTTGCCCGTTTCTTTTGTTGTATTTGTATGAATGTGTGTACATGTGTGTGTATTCACAACTGCACACAGTCAAAGTCAGATGTCTTCTTAGCATGCACTCCTTTCTCCCTCCCCTCCTTCCCTCCTCCTTCTTCTTCCTTCCTTCCTTCCTTCCTTCCTTCCTTCCTTCCGTCCTTCCTCCCTCCCTCCCTCTCTCTCTCCCTCCCTTCCTTCCTCCCTTCCTTCTTTCCTTCTTACCTCCTCTCCTTTTTTCTTCTTCTCTCCCGCCATCCCCTTCCCTCTCTTCTTTCCTGTTTATTTATTTTATTCCTTCATATGTTTATTTATTTATCAAGCCACTGAACCTGGTTAATATTCATTGATTGGAGAGACTGGATGGCCAGTGACTCTGGGAAGCTACCTGTTTTAGTCTTCCAAGTGTTTGAGTTACAGCTACATGTCTCCATATTCAGCTTTTCATGTGCATGCTAGAGATCTGAACAGGTTCTCATGCCATTTACATAGGTCTTTCTTTACATTAAAAAATATCCTCTTAATCTAGAACTTGGGAAGCAAAGGTAGGTAGATGTAGATGGAAGTTTCTGTTCCTCTTAATCCCGCAGTCATTCAGTCCCAAAGAATCACACAGAGGCTTGTATTGATTATAAACTTTTTGACCTATTAGCTCAGGCTTCTTATTAACTAACTCTTACATCTTAAATTAACCCATTGCCATTATTTTATATTTTACCACGAGTCTCGTGCTTTTTTCCCTCACATCTTGCTTTCTTGGTGGCTGTTGGCATCTGCATTTCTGCCTTCTTCCCAAAATTCTCCTAATCTGATTGCTCAGCCTATATTTCCTGCCTGACTACTGGCCAATCAGCATTTGATTAAACCAATACGAGTGACAAATCACTGCAGTGTGCAAAAGCATTCTCCCACAGATCTCTGTGAATTTGAGGCAGCCTGGTACCTATAGCAAAATCCAGGCAAGCCAGAGCAATACCTGTCCTTAAAAACTTAGCAATCAAATCTAAGATCTTAAATTAACTCTAGGAATTAAGATGCAAATACCTACTTTGGAGACTTTGGTGCACAACCCTTGATTTCATTTTACTTCTTGTGGTTGTAGAATACTTGCATCAACACAGTTTGAGCCCACAGCTGCTAGAATGGCGTTTCCCTGCTTTGATGAGCCTGCACTCAAAGCAAGTTTCTCCATCAAGATTAGGAGGGAACCAAAGCACTTGGCCATCTCCAATATGCCCTTGGTGAGTGTGAACAGCATCTGTTCCTGGGAAATTGCCCTTCTCTGTGATGTCCAATACACCAACATTTCATTTATCTTTTTTTATTTCCTAACAGTTACATTTAATAACTTTTCTCTTCACTTCCAACAAATGTTTTGTTTCAAGCCACATTTTGTTGATAACCAAAGAAAACAATATCCCTTAAAAATTCAGGTTCTCAGTACAATTTACACACATGGAGGAAATTGTCAGGAGTTTACACCAGGTTTAACCGATAGTTTCCTTCACCAAGTGCTTTCACCCCCATTTTCTCCTGTGTTATTTTATGAGATTATTACATAGAAAACTTTATCTAATAAAACCACACAGCATCTTCAAGTGAGGTCAGAAGCTATACCCATAATTTCTCACTGACATAACTGCCTAAGCATGAGCTGAGCAAGGACAACATTATACATGCCAATGTGAACAGGGGGAGCTCACGAGGCTTCCGCCCCACACAAAGAACTACAGACAACTAAGGAATGCTGAGTCTGGGAGAAATAATCCCCCAGGGAAGAGCACACCAATTGGTTATCCAAAACCAAATAACCAAATCTAAATACATGACACTAAATAAAGAAGCTGAAAAGATACATACAAATAGCAATAACAGACTTATATCAGGGTATATTCAGGAATATACACATATGTTCATATAACTACGATGAATGAAAAAAGCAGTCATGTGTTTGGAAGAGAATGGAGGAGTGTATGTAAGGGCATGGAGGGAGGAAAGGTAAGGGTAAATTATGTGATTATATTACAATCTCAAAAATAAAACAAAGTAATAATTTCTATTTAATCTCTGATTACATTAACTATACAGCAGATAATTGTATGTTTGACATTGGATAAACATCCAAAGGAACAGTAGTCTTTTCAGAGCCTGTAATGTCATAGCTGAATAGTAATAGATGCCTTAACTCCCTTATGAGAAGTCATTTCTCTAATTTCAAGGCAGGTGTGGCTAGCACTCACTCAGAATTTTAAAAGTAGCAGGAAGATGTCCATGCCGAAGGAATAAAGCCAGTCACCTACCTCCCTTGTCTCATGATTATGGCTGCTGAGTCCAGCACAGCTGCAGCTGTGGTACAGCTGATGATCATCCTCACTGGGAAACACATGGTTTTGTTGTGGCTCGCAGTTGATTGGCATTAAGTGAGACCCAGGGTAGAATAATCTGTCTAGGATTCTATAGAGTGTCTGACTTCATTATGGTGACCATGACAAAGGGACACAGAACCCCAAAATAATCACATCAACATTACAACTCTGTACTTTTGAACATCTGAAAGATCCTGTTATCAAGCAAAACTCTGCCCATCCTAGAATTCTATGTCCTTTGAAGACTATTATCATTTAACTCTGTTCCTGTTCCCACTTTTGTATATAAATAAACAAATAATTAGACTGCCTTCTTGGAATAAATATGAGATAGACACGCAATGTTATGCTGTTGTTCTGTAGTACAGTAGTGTATTCTCAAATGAGAGTGTTCCAGCTCTAGGAAAATAAAAGAACACCAAGAAATTTGTGGCAAAAAAATCAGAGGCTTCCAGATGGAAGGCAGGGAGCTCTAGAAATACCACAAAGGTAATGGCATTGTAATTCATGGGTTATCCAAGATCTGCCTTGTGAGCACAGGAAAGCCCTAGTGTCATCTTGTTCCCGGAGCAGGAAAGTTTCCCACTGAGATAGTCTAACTGGAATGGTCCAGTTTCCCACACAGATAAGGAGCTGAGAGGAAGAACAGTGGGTATTTTGACGGAATGGAAGGTCCAATTCTTTATACCATGAGAACATTGAAAGTTAGGCAGTCGGCAGGGACTTAAGCACATCTTAATTTAGAATAGTACAATTAAGTTGCTTTGTTATTAATTAGCACGTCAAAAATGGAAATTTTGACTGTGCATATGTAGAAGCCATTTAAACAGAAAGAATAGCTTGAGATTCTTGAGGAGTAAAACTAACTTGTTCAGCATGACTGGTTGAAATTACCAGAAGGTGACCAGCAAGTACAATACTTAGTGACTGCTGGGAAAAAATGAAGGCACAAAAATGGGCAGGTATGGGATGGATCGCAGGAAAGTGTCTGGCCACATGCTCTTCCCCAGGCTGATTCTTTCTCTAAGTTCTCACCTCAGAACTTATTGTGCTGAAGTATTAGGTTTTCTCTCTGGGACCATGCCTCTTAGAATGTTCCCACCAACATGCAACCATTCTTCAAGACAAGCACCCTGGTTGTACTTAAAACCTATTTCAGTAAAACAAGACTGAGATTGGAAGAGAATTTTCATATTAGGAAAAGTCATAGGGCACTTTCAACTTAATCAAAAAAATCAGAAGTTCTTTTTAGGTAGCAAATGGTTATGTATGTATTTGCCCAGTATAGAGTGTACTTATATCCCAATAAAAAAGAAATTGAATCAAATAGTCTGGCCTTGACATCTAAATTCTAGCCAGATTTCAAAGTAATTAAAGAAATACCATGCTATTCCTTTCAATATGTATGTTTGGGAGATTTCTCTTTATAATGTGTGCCAGTGTGTTGAGTGATTAGATTATGTGGTTATTTACTCTGATAATAGGTAAAATCTGTGAACATTGCTGAAGGACTCATAGAAGATCACTTTGACGTCACCGTGAAGATGAGCACCTACTTGGTGGCCTTCATTATTTCCGATTTCAAGTCTGTGAGCAGGATGACTAAGAGTGGGGTCAAGGTGAGCATGTGTTTGCCTCACACGATGATCACCTGTGCTGGTGCTCCTGCTTCCTGAGACTCCCTTAGCCTTAGGAAAAACAGAGTGCCCCTGGCGTGTGTAAGTCATGAGTTGTCTGAATCTGTGCTAATTGGCTCTCTGACCTTGACTATTTTCCTTGTGGAATGTAGATTATGTTTCTTTTAAATGTATAAGTTGTCCAGGCATCATGACAGAGATGGTTAGATCTCTGACCAGTTCAAGGCCAGTCTGGTCTACATAGTGAGTTCCAGGCCAGTTAGGTCTACAGTGTGAGATCCTATCTCAAAAAAACAAGCAAATAAACAAAGAATAAGTAGGTTGTAGTACAACTAGCAGAGGTTTCTAAGCTTGCTTCTGGTTATAAGTGTCCACAACATTGAAGGCAATGGTACTGGTTGTGGGGAGGAGAGAAGATAAAGATGCTTGCTGGCTTGGAGTAGAAGGAGTCTTTGGGAACAGCATTTTGTGTCAGAGGATTTTAGAATGCTGGAATAAAGCCCTTGCTTCAAGCATCATTTTCGTCTGGGCTCAGCACTTTTACCTTCATAATGCTGTCACATGGTCCAGAAAGGAAACATTTTAAATGGGAGCTGAAGTTGCTTCCTATGTTTGTGATGCTGTCGTTGAGGTCTGATAGCTGGGCCACTCAGAATTACTATTTGTTCTTCTAGTGCTGTGGATATTTGAAAGGAGGATTAGTGCCTTAAGTGAAAAGAATATTATAACCTGCCCATTGTTTTGCATGTTTTTTAATGAATCTATTGTTCATGATTTTTATAATGCTTACATTTTTTTCCTTCTCTTCCTTGGAACACATTAAGTATACATATTATATATATACATCCTGGGCATGGCCATCGTCATATCTGTTGTTTTTGTCTATCTTGTTTCTGAAGGCTCTTGTTCATGGTGTCTTATTTTTTGCACTTATTATGGGTTATTGCTCAGTCAAAAGTGAACTCTTCTAGAAAACGTGTCTTCACTCCTACCAGGTGACAGAGTTCTTCCAATCCAAAGATCACTTTAAACGATAGTCTTAGCTTCAAGATCTTTGGTTATCCAGTTACTGAAGTTTCAGCTCTTAAGTACTATAAAGATTCGTTTTAAACTACAGTTTCTTTAAGACTTTCCCATTCTCCTTTGTGCAATACCAATATAGCAAAACCTTTCCTTCCTTCCTTCTTTCCTTCCTTCCTTCCTTCCTTCCTTCCTTCCTTCCTTCCTTCCTTCCTTCCTTCCTTCCTGCCTTCCTTCCCTCCTTTCCTCCTTCTTTCTTTCCTCCTTCCTTCCTTTCTTTCTTTCCTTCTTTCCTCCTTTCCTCCTTCCTGCCTTTTTTCTTTCACTTGCAGTTTTTTTTTTGAGAGAATTGCAACTTATTTTTAGTTTATCCATACACTAAGAAAGTAGCCTTTGGAATGTGGTTTTATGGAGAGTTAGTATCTTCTGCTATTCTTACCTTGGCCAGAACCTGGATTTTATCCTTTGTCCCTAGAGTCTCTCAGTGTCATGAGAACAAGAGCTCCAGTCCATCTGTGTTGGACTAGGATCCACAGAGGAAAGACTGTCTGTGGTGCCCTGATGACTTCCAAGGGTTCAGTTGACATCTTTTTTTTTTTTTCCTCAAGACAGGGTTTCTCTGTAGCTTTGGAGCCTGTTCTAGAACTAGCTCTTGTAGACCATGCTGACCTTGAACTAGTAGAGATTCACCTGCCTCTGTCACCTGAGTGCTGGGATTAAAGGTGTGCACCACCACTGCCTGGTCCAATTGACATCTTGCTATTGCTTTCTAAGTCATATTATTGTCATACTATGAAAACATTTCAGAAAACTGCTTTGAACCTATATTTGTAGCTTTTTGTAGTTGTTTTTGGAAATAAAGTTGATTAGGAGCAGACATAATTAAAATAGTGGAATTCCCAAATGTCTTCTATAACATTAACATCCATATCCTGTAGTAAGAACCATTAAAGTCATTCTTCTTCCCAGTTGTGTGGTAAAGCCACTATGTTCTTTGAATACTCTCCTGTGCCTTTCTCTTTAGGTCTCTGTGTATGCTGTGCCAGACAAGATAAATCAAGCAGATTATGCTCTGGATGCTGCAGTGACTCTTCTAGAATTTTATGAGGATTATTTCAGCATTCCATATCCTTTACCCAAGCAAGGTAACATATTACAGACATTTCGGGGTTGTATTTGATGGTTCCCAACATAGACCATATTATTATTACTTCTGCATCCCCATCATTCTCCACAATGCTCTTCATATAATGAAGTTCCCAGCAAAGTTTAAACAAAATCTTTATCCTATTGAGAATCCCCTCACCTCTGATTTATATGATCAACTACTAATGATAAATCACCATATATCACTGTACAGTTCCTGACAATGTGGCCTGAGGATGGCTTTGCATTCAGGTGTTATTAGAGGAGACAGAAGATTGCAGAGGCTGTTTTTTTTTTTTTATGTCATTATCACTACATACGTGACAGGAGAATAAAAAGGAACTCAATAAAGTTTTAGAATGAGTACATTTCCCTAACATAAGAATAATAAAATGCAGATTTACTATGAACCTTCAAAAGCTATTGGGTATTGAGTTTTTAGATATGTGGCTGTGGGTATCCAAAATACAATGGATTATGGAGGTAATTCTTTTCAATTGTTCAGTTTCCAAACTCATGGTCTAAATATTAGAGATAGAGCCAAGACTGATTCCTCAGGCCTGTATTCCCAGGGACTCAGGAGGCTGAGGCAGGAGGATTGCGAGTTCAAGGCCAGACTAATAAATGGAGTGAGATCTGTCTCAAAATAAAAAGTAAAGAGAGGCATGGGCATATATCTTAGTGGTTGAGCACTTGTGTAGCACGCACAGGGACCTAGGTTCAATCTCCAGCACTGTCAAATAAAGTGTGTGGGGAAGGGTGGTGGAGAGAATCGGATGGATGTCCTGAGAGGTTCTAGCCTAATTCTGAGTCAATTGGGTACCAGCATGATAGTCATGGAAACTTTCTTTCTCCACAAGGAAAGCTTCTTTCCTCTGGAACTCCCTAATTCTGGATGCATAGCTTAGCTTTTCATTTTATCCTAACACCCATTCATTTTCATGTTTATTTTGTATGTTTTGGAGAGTATGTTGCTGTGAGATTCATAATGAGCTGTATTCCTTCCTGCCCAAGATCTTGCTGCAATTCCTGACTTTCAGTCTGGTGCTATGGAGAACTGGGGTCTGACCACATACAGAGAATCCTCTCTTTTGTATGATAAGGAAAAGTCATCTGCATCCAGTAAGCTTGGCATCACAATGACGGTGTCCCATGAACTGGCTCACCAGGTAAGAACACTTAGTCACACATCTTCCCCCCACCTTTAGGATTCCATAAGTGTATACAGGATCCATAAGTGTAACATAGGATCATATGCACTCTATTTCTGTCCCTATCCAACTCTTTCTGGGTCCTCCTAGCAAAACATCCATCTCCCAACTTCATGTCTTCTTTATTTTTTATTTTATTTTTTGATAATAATTAAATATAATTAGTGCTGCCCACAGGCACATGGTTGGATCCTTCACTGAAGAATACGAAATCTAGCAGCCACACTCTCAGAGAGGAGTTAATCTTAGTGTGGTTTAATGTTCATGTCTCTTTTGGGACAAATAAAGCTACTCATATAGTTATCATGTTTACCTTGTCATTTCATAGAAGAGCTACTTCCTTAAAGCGTTAAGTTTCATGATTTTAATGAATGTTGAAAAGTTCTTATTTTTACTCTGATAAAATAGTTAATAAATATGTTTGCATTTATAAGCTGATGGTCATGTTGCATGTTTCTAAGTTTGCTGCATCTATTTCTGCCATAATACATATCAGATAATACAGTTTCTCTATAAATTTGAAAATAAGCAGAGTTGCTTTCCTTTCAGTGGTTCGGAAATCTGGTCACCATGGAATGGTGGAATGACCTTTGGCTCAATGAAGGATTTGCCAAGTTTATGGAGTTTGTGTCTGTCACTGTGACCCATCCTGAACTAAAAGTTGTACGTGGTTGTTGTTTATGCTTTTATATCTTAGGCTAATCTATTTTTATTATTTCTGCCAAAATAAATTTTTGAATATATAATTTATAGAAATGATAACATCATTGAAAGTTTAGAGATGAATCATGTTTGAAAATGCTAGATGAACTTTCAATATAAATGAAGTATTAAATTATATTATTTTCCCTTAACATTAACGGAATAGACCTAATGATAGGCTGAGTGTTCTGTGACATTTCCCAACTTTCAGGTTGCTCATTGCTATTTAAATATTAGGTACATATTACTGTTATTCTGCACAGAATTTAAATTGACACATTGCATGAATTATGGCTGAAGTAAACATACATTACATTATCAACCTAGAATTGTAGCTCACAGATTTAATGTTTTAAAATTATACTTTCCCCCCTTCCTTTCTCTTCTCTTTATTGACAGGAAGAACATTTCTTTGGCAAGTGTTTCAGTGCAATGGAAGTCGATGCATTCAACTCCTCGCACCCTGTGTCCACACCTGTGGAGAACCCTGCACAGATTCGGGAAATGTTTGATGATGTTTCTTATGAAAAGGTAAAAGCAGACTGTAGAGGTACAGTTTGGATACTGTGTTCATTAGTGGTTGGGCAGAAGGGTTATAGTTCAGGTGTGCAATAGCTTTCTCCATCAGGTTTAACCAGTAGATTGGTCCATAATCCTAAAGATTAGATTCTGGTCAATATTTTACTCTTTCTATGGTTGAAAATTTGAAAAAAATAATGCAGCTGCATTGAAATGTACAAACTATACATAATGATTATTTGTCTTATCTTTTCAGGGGGCTTGTATTTTGAATATGCTAAGAGATTATCTGGGTGCAGATACATTTAAAAGAGGAATTGTGCAGTATCTCCAAAAGTATAGTTATAAAAACACGAAAAACGAGGACCTTTGGAATAGCATGGCGAGTGTAAGTAGGGCTAGAGACCTCTCTTCTGTTGTTGCTTTCCTCTTTTATGGTACTCCTTCACAAAGAATCAAAGTGCTTTCTGCAGAAATGAGGGTATTATTTTATTTTTGGTTTCAGATTTGTCACACAGATGGTACCCAAACAATGGATAGCTTTTGCTCTAGAAGCAAACACTCATCATCAACCTCAGTAAGTCTCTCCATCTATACTCACCCACCCATGCACATTCTTCTCCATATTCTTTGAGCGGTACCTCTGTGCCAAACTTTTTGAGGTTCTCAGTTAAGTCACTTTGATTCAATTCAAATTAAAACATTCCAACTAAACCAGCTAACAGCCTTTTGTAGATTTTCCTAAGAATTATCTATGTAAGAGCATGTCACAACCCTGGTGACAACTTCTCATAGACATTCATTCCTTTCAGTACACTTTCCCTAAAACAGTGGGGTTAGGACAAGTTTCAGTGGTGGGCTAGGACTAGATTCTATCAGTGAAGATGTCAGTCATTTCCAGACCACTGCATATGAAAAAAAATCACACAATGGCAGAGAAAACTCTTAGATATTTACTGCACATCAGGCAAATGCTGAACAATTAGCATGTCATCTTTACTCCTCTCAACAGATCCTTGAACCAACTGCTATTACTATCCAGGTCTTTAAATGTGGTAATGTGAATGTGATATCTAAGAGCACATGGTGGTAACTTGTAGAGTAGGGACTGAATTCCATTTTGACTGAATTCATGTTTTCAACTGTTCAGCTATCAAGAATCATACCAGCTGAGACACAACATGATCTCACTCTGTTCAATCTGAATTTAGGGGATATTTTCATAGACAACTATGGATGACTAGAAATTCAACCAAATTTTATTTACCATATTTTTATTTCCTTGCAGGGATAGCTTTATTAATCATTTATGCAGTAAAATATTTTCTTTTATCTTTTTAAAAAGTTTTTCTAGTGCCAAGGAACACATCTTCTATATTTCCAACTGCTAGTCAAGTGCAAGCCATCTCAAAGCTGTCACTTTATTTATTTATTTATTTATTTATTTATTAAAAATTTCCACCTCCTCCCCACCTCTCTTTTCCCTCCCCTTCCCCACCTCCCCCTCCCTCTCTAGTCCTAAGAGCAGTCAGGGTTCCCTGCCCCGTGGGAAGTCCAGAGTGAGCTGTCATTTTAAAAACACAACCCATTCCCGTACCAGTTTTTCTACCTCAGTTTTCCGAGAGCCAGCATAGTCATGTTGGTGTTGAAACCTTGCTGTCCTCCCCACACACCCCACCTCTGTTTCTCTCATTCTGTTGCTTACGTGCCAGCTTTGTGTTTGTCGAATATGCCTGGCCATTAGCTGTGCCAAACAGGGCCAACTGTATTTCCTACCTGTCAAGACACATAGGTTTAGAGGAGATGATAGAAAGGCAGTCAGTCATGGCTCAGTGGTGGGAACAGGAGGGGAGGGCAGCCAGGGTAAGAAACTGAAGAACAGGGGAGACTGGTAGTGGCTAGTGAGTCTGGGAGCACAGATATCAGATGATGAATTTCCCCCCATTTTTGTCTATAAACCAGCACTGGCATCAGGAAGGCATAGATGTGAAAACCATGATGAACACATGGACACTACAGAAGGGCTTTCCCCTGATAACCATCACTGTAAGAGGGCGTAATGTGCACATGAAGCAAGAACACTATATGAAGGGTTCAGAAAGCATCCAAGAGACTGGGTAATGTTCACAGTGGATAACTCCTTTTTGGTGGGAAAGGGTCTTTCTTTTGAAGTCCTGTCCGTAGAATGTTTTAGCTGAATCTGTGTTCCACTCAGTTGACCTATACCCCAACTTTCCCAAAAGTATTAAAGAGGTTTTGAGTTTTGAATCTCTGTAAACCTGGCTATCTGTTTTGTAGTTTAATAGGATGTAATTTCTAGTTGTTGGCCTGAAGACAGCTCTGATCTAAGTTAGCAGCTGCTGCTAAGTTATAGAAGTGTCTGACATTGGTTTGAGTTGACAAAACCAACTAAGAGATGCTCAATTCTCTTCTTTAGAAGTCTGAGTTACACCCTGGAAGCCCTTAGCTCATACCCTAGAAGAGTATTATTAGAAATGATATGTTACAACTTGTAAAATATTTGCTGTATCTTGAACTAATTTCAATAAGAACATTACAAAAGTAAAAGAATTTCTACATATGCTTTGCACAAATATGTGTTAATTTTATCACACTTGATTTATGATTCTCTATGTACATATAAAAAGAAAGCATTACATAATATATAACCTATATGTGTGTAGTCAATAGGAATGCAATAGTATATATAACTTATTACATATATTATATATAAACAAAGATATACAGAGAAGTTGTATTTTCAAGAAAATAAAAACATTTACTTATATAATCATCACACAATTTTCAAAATTAGGAAACAATCCTATACAATATCATAACTTAATTCATAAAGCCAATCCAATTTCTCAAATTGTCTTAAAATGTCTTTATATAAAAATAGAAAAAAATTACTCCCAAATTTAGTAAATTTCATATTTCATCACCACACAATTTTGGTTTTACTTTTTTTTTTTGCAGCAATTCTCTCACCTTGTGTCCCTTGACATTTTCAGCTTTTCTAGTTCAGGACACTACTTTACTGGAATTTTCTTGACTTATATTTTCTTCTACTGTTTCTTCTTGATCAGATTTAGGTTTTATGGAGAAACTCCAGAAGAGAAGTGACATAGGTCTTTTTGGTACATGATTAAGGAGGAGGGACATGGTACCAATTTGTGCCATTACTAGTAATTATTATTTAAGGTTAGGCTTACTAACCTAGTAATCATTATTTAAGGTTAGTCATTAATTACTTGAGCTTGCTTTTCTCTTTCTACATTAGAGTCTGAGAAAGAGGAATAGTAGCTGAGCTGGAATGCAGCCTAAGCATCATGTCAGGTCTTGGCATAACATTCTTACACCACTCTGTTTTAAACTAGCCTGGCACGTGATGGGAAGAGGTATTAAAAGCTGCTTGTTGAGTGAGTAAAGACAATGAACAATGCATACCTGCTTTCTTTTAGGTACCTGTGGCACATTCCCCTGACATTTATTACCAGCAGATCAGACACAGTCCAGAGGTTTTTGCTAAAGACAAAGACAGGTAATTTGTCATGGAAATAATTAGTTTAAATTCAAGTAAGAAGTATAGAAGTGAATAGAAACTAGCTACCGAGCTTCTTTCGGTGTTGATTTTGGTTAAAAGAAAAGAGAATCTATTGAGAATTCTTGCTGGATATGGAAGATGGCTCCATTGGTAGAGTGCTTATCTTATAATGTGAGGACTTGAGTCTAATCTCCAACAGTTACAATACCAAAGAAGGTGAGTGTTGCCGTCATGATTGTGACCTCAGTGCTGGGAAGAACCAAGGCCAGTGAGTGTTCCTATTGGATGTCTTTCCCTGACAAAAATATACAGAATCTGAGGAACAGACAATGTTCAGCCCTGATATATATACACGCACACGTGCCCTCACTTACAAAAATTCACAGGGATTGGATTTTTAAAAAGGAAATATAATGACACAAATTCAAACAGTTGAGTGCTATGACACTAAAGAGAATAGATTAGCAACAAAAATCCTCATTGCTTTGTTGACAATAGTGGGAAATATGTGTTGGTCATAAATGTGATTGCATCATTTCTATAAATCTCATAGAATCTGCGTCAAATGCTACCTTTGGCATTTGTCTACTTGGGTGGCTGTTATGTAGTTTCTACAAGATATTTGTTTAGTCTTGGAGTTTCTCCCAGTTTCGTGGTATAACCTCAGATTCAAAAACTTCTATCCATCCAGGGAGTAAATGGTTCTGAGATTTATCATATTTTCTCTAGATGTTCTCATCCTCCCAGAAGCAGTGGAGTGGATCAAATTTAATGTGGGAATGAATGGCTATTACATTGTGCATTATGAGGATGATGGATGGGATTCTTTGAGTGGCCTTTTAAAAGAAGCACACACAGCAATCAGCAGTAATGACCGGGCGAGTCTTATCAACAACGCATTTCAGCTTGTCAGGTAATGCAGGCTGCATCAAGTTGTAGTTTATTTCTGAAAGCAGCTGTTACTGTTCAAATACTTGGTTTCTAGAGATGACAGTGATGGATTGATAATGAGCATTCAAAAGGCATCACCTCCCCAAGTTCTTTTATTAATTTTTTATTGAGCTATATATTGTTCTTTGCACCCCTCCCTTTATCCCCCCACCCCATCTGCCCTCTCCTATAATACCCATCCTCCCAATTTACTCAGGAGATCTTATCGTTTTCTGCTTCCCATGTAGATTAGATCCATGTATGTCTCTTTTAGAATCCTCTTTGTTGTCTAGGTTCTTTGGAATTGTGAATTGTAGGCTGATTTTTCTTTGCTTTATGTCTAAAAGTCACTTATGAGTAAGTACATATTATATTTGTTTTTCTGGATCTGGATTACCTCACTCAATATGATGTTTTCTAGCTCCATCCACTTGCCTGCAAATTTTAAGATGTCATTTTTTCTGCTGTGTAGTATTCCATTGTATAAATGTACCACATTTACCTTATCCATTCTTCGGTCAAGGTTGTTTTCAGGTTCTGGCTATGATAAATAATGCTGCTGTGAACATAGTTAAACACATTTCCTTGAGGTATGATTAAGCGTCCTTTGGGTATATACTCAAAAGTGGTATTGCTGGGTCTTGAGGTAGGTTGTTTCCTAATTTTCTGAGAAATCGCCATATTGATATCCTAAGTGGCTGTACCAGTTTTCACTCCCACCAACAATGGAGGAGTGTTCCCTTTACCCCACATCCTCTCTAGCATAAGTTGTCATCAGTGTTTTTGATCTTGGCCATTCTTACAGGTGTAAGATGGAATCTCAGAGTTGTTTTGATTTGCATTTCTCTGATAGCTAAGAATGTTGAGCAGTTCCTTAAGTGTCTTTCAGCCATTTTAGATTCATCTGTTGAGAGGACTGTTTGAATTTATACCCCAGTTTTTAATTGGATTATTTGTTTTTTTGATGACAAATTTCTTGAGTATATTTTGAAGATCAACCCTCTGTCTGATGTGGGTTTCCCATTCTGTAGGCTACCATTTTGTCTTGTTGACCATGTCCTATGCTTTACAGAAGCTTCTCAGTTTCAGGAGGTCCCATTTATTAATTGTTTCTCACAGTGTCTGTGTTACTGGAGTTATAGATGGAAAGTGGTCTCCTGTGCCAATGCGTTCAAGCTACATCCAACTTTCACTTCTATGATTATTAGTGTGGTTGGTTTTATATTGAGGTCTTTGATCCACTGGACTTGAATTTTGTACATTGTGATAGATATGGATCTATTTTCATTCTACTACATGTTGATATCCAGCTATGTCAGCACCATTTGTTTAATATTCTTTCTTTTTTCCATTTTATGATTTTTGCTTCTTTGTCAAAAATCAGGTGTTTGTAGGTGTGTGTTTTGATACATGGGTCTTCAGTTTGGTTCCATTGGTCCTCCTGTCTGTTTTTATGCCAATACAAGGCTGTTTTCAGTACTGTAGTTCTGTAGTAGAGTTTGAAGTTAGGGATAGGAATGCCTCCAGAAGTTCCTTTATTGTACAGGATTGTTTTGGCTATCCTGGGTTTTTTGCTTTTGTGTTGATCTTTCAAGGTGTATTAAGAAATTTTTTGGGATTTAGATGGGCATTGCATTGAAACTGTAGATTGCTTTTGGTAAAACTGATATTTTTACTATGTTAATTCTACCTACCCAAGAGCATGGGAGATCTTTACACTTTCTGGTGTCTTCTTCAATTTCTTTCTTCAAAGATTTAAAGTTCTTGTCATACAGGTCTTTCACTTGTTTGCTTAGAGTTAATCCAAGATTATTTGTTATAAGTTATTTGTGGCTGTCGCAAAAGGTGATATTTCTCTGATTTGTTTCTCAGCCCATTTATCGTCTGTGTAAAGGAGGGATACTGATTTTTTCGAGTTAATCTTGTATCCTGCTACATTACTGAAGGTATTTATGAGTTGTAGAAGTTCATTTGTAGAATTTTGGGGATCATTTATGTAAACTGTCATATCATCAGCAAATAGTGTTAGTTTGACTTCTTTTCAAACTGTACCACCTTGATCCTTTTTTTTGTCTTATTTGCTGTATCTAAAACCTCAAGTACTATATTGAATCGGTTGGAGAGTGTGTACAACTTTGCTTTGTTCCTGATTTCAGTGGGATCACTTTGAGTTTATCTCCATTTACCTTGATGTTGGCTGTTGGCTTGCTGTATATTTCCTTTAATATGTTTAGATATGTTCTTTGTATCCCTGCTCTCACCAAGAACTTTATCATGAAAGGATCTTGTATTTTGTTAAAGGCTTTTTCAGCATCTAATGAGATTATTGTTCTTTTTTTTTTCAGTTTGTTTATATGGTGGATTACATTGACAGATTTTCATATGTTGAACCATCCCTGCATTTCTGGGATGAATCCACTTGGTCATGGTGGATGGTTTTCCTGATATGTTTTTGGATTTGGTTTGCCAATATTTTTGAGTGTTTTTGCATCAATGTTCATAAGTGAGAATGGTCTGTAATTCTCTTTCTTAGTAATGTCTCTGTGCTTCGGGTATCGGAGTGATTGTAGACTCATAAAAAGAGTTTAGCAATGTTCCTTCTGTTTCTATTTTGTGGAACAATTTGAGGAGTATTGGTGTTAGTTCTTCTTTGAAATTGTTGTAGAATTCTGCACTGAAACCATGTGGTCCAGTGTTTTTTTTTTTTTGTTTTTTTGGTAGGGAGACTTTTGAAGAATGTTTCTATTTCCTTAGTGATTATAGATCTATTTAATTTGTTTATCTGGTCTTGATTTAATTTTGGCAAGTGATATTTATCCAGAAAACTGTCTGTTTCCCTTAAGTTTTCTAATTTTGTGTAGTATAGGTTTTCAAAGTATGATCTGATGATTCTCTGGATTTCCTCTTTGTCTCTTGACATGTACCCCTTTTCATTTCTGATTTGTTAATTTGCATATTCTCTCTCTGCCTTTTGATTAGTTTGGATAAAGGTTTGTCTATTTTGTTGATTTTTATTGAAGAACAAACTTTGTCTCATTAATTCTTTGTATTGTTTTATTTGTTTCTAGTTTGTTGATTTCAGCTCTCAGTTTATTTCCTGCCATCTAGTCCTCCTGGGTGAGTTTGCTTCTTTTTGTTCTAGAGTTTTTAGGTGTTCTGTTAACTCATTAGTGTGAGATTTTCCCAGCTTTTTTATGTAGGAATTTAGTGTTATTAATTTTCCTTTGCACACTGCTCTCATTGTGTCCCATAAATTTGGGTATGTTGTGTGGTCATTTTCATTGAATTTTAGGAAGTCCTTAATTTCTTCCTTTATTTCTTCCTTGACACATTGGTGAATAATGTGAGCATTGTTTAATTTCCATGTGTTTGTGGGCTTTCTGAAATTAGTGTTGCTGTTGAATTCTAATTTTGAGCCATGATGATCCAATAAGATACATAGGGTTATTCCAAATTTTTGTGCCTGCTGATGTTTGCTTTATTACCAAGTATATGATCAGTTTTTGAGAAGGTTCCATGAGGTGCTGAGAAGGCGGCATATTCTTTTATGTTTGGATGGAATGTTCCATACATGTCTGTTAAGCCCATTTGTGTCATAACATCTGTTAGTCCCCTTATTTCTCTTTTAAGTTTCTGTCTGGCAGACCTGTACAGTGGTGAGAGTGGGGTGTTGGAGTCTCCCACTATTAGTTTGTGGGGTTTAATGTGTGATTTAAGCTTTAATAGTGTTTCTTTTACATATGAGGGTGCCCTTATAGTTGGGCCATAGATGTTCAGTATTGAGATTTTCTCTTGATGGATTTTTTTTTGTGCCTAATATGAAATGTCCTTTGTCTGTTTTGATTGATTTTAGTTTGAAGTCTATTTTGTTAGACTTTAGGAGAGCTACACCAACTTATTTCTTAGATCCATGTGATTGGAAAATCTTTTCCCAACCCTTTACTCTAAAGCAATGTCTGTCTTTGAAGTTGAGGTATGTTCTTTGTATACAGCAGAAGGATTAATTCTTTTTTCATATCTAATCTCTTAACCTGTGTCTCTTTATAGGTGAGTTGAGTCTATTTATATTAAGGAATATAATGACCAGTGATTGCTAGTTCCTGTTATTTTAATTTTCATTGTTGGTGATGTTATTGTGTTTTTCCATTCTTTGGATTGACTGCTGTGAGATCATCTATTGTCTATGTTTTTGTGGATGTAGTTAACTTCTTTGGGATGGAGTTTTCCTTCTAGTACTTTGTTAGTAGGTATTGGTTAAATCTGGTTTTGTCATGGAATATCTTGTTCTGTCTGTCTATGGTGATGAAAAGTTTTGCTGGGTATAGGAGTCTGGGCCTACATCCGTGGCCATTTAATGTCTGTATAATGCTTAACCAGAACCTTCTGGCTCTCATTGTTTCCATTGAGAAGTCAGGTGTAATTCTGATAGGTCTGCCTTTATATGTTACTTGATCTTCTTCCTTTGTAGCTCTTAATAATCTTTTTGTTTTTGCCACCCTCAAATTCTTTCTTTATTCTGTATGTTTAGTGTTTTGTTTATTATATAGCAAGGGAGCTTTCTTTTTGATCCAGTCTGTTTGGTGTTCTGTAAACTTTTTATATCTTTATATGCAATCTTTCTTTTGTTTGGGAAAGTTTTTTTCTATGATTTTGTTGCATTTATATTTTCTGTGCTTTTGAGTTGGACTTCTTCATCTTCTATCCCTATTATTCTTAGGTTTGGTCTTTTCATAGTGTCCCAGATTTCCTATATATTTTGTGTTAAGCTTTTGTTAGATTTAATGTTTTCTTTGACCTATGAGTCTATTTCCTCTATTGTATCTTCAGCACTTGAGATTCTCCCTTCCATCTCATATATTCTGCTGTTTATGCTTGCATTTGTGGTTCCTGATTATTTTCCCATATTTTCCGTTTCCAGAATTTTCTTGGTTTGGGTTTCCTTTATTGTCTGTAGCTTGGTTTTCAAGAATTGAATCGTTTCTTTCGTATGTTTGGTTTCTTTTTCTTGGTTTTCTTTAATGGATTTGTTTATTTCTCCCAATTTTTTGTCTTTTCCTCCATTTCTTTGAGGAACTTTTTCATTTCCTTTTTAAGGGCCTCAAACATTCTCTTAACATTATTTTTCTGGTCATTTTCCTCTACTTCATCTATATTTGGCTGTTCAAATCTTGCTGTTGTAGGGCCACTAGTTTTTGTTGGTGTCATGTTGCTCTTTGTGGTTCTGATTGCGTTCTTACCTTGTCTATCCATCCTTTCCTCTGATCGGTGTAGTTTGTGCTGGGTGATCAATCTTCCAGGTGCCTGTGGATCCAAGGCTCAGATGGTTGATCCTCATGGTGTAACTGGGGCAATGGTTCCAGTCACCCTGGAGGTCTCTTGATGTTCCCGGAGGTCACTCAGCACTCCATGGTGTTGCATTGCAATCCTGGAGGTCATTCAGGCCTGTTCCTGCTGAGGTTCCTGGCTTGGGCCTGATCCCACAGAGGTCTCTGGCTTGGGCCTGCTCCCGTGGTGGTTCCTCCCTCATACCTGCTCCTACAGAGGCTGCTTTCTCCCCAAGTTCTTTCAACAGGGCAACATAGCCTGAAGCTCAACCTTCTGTCTTTAATTGCTAGTTGATGTAAAATACAGAACTTGTATTTTAATCTTTCTCATTAATAACTCAAACCAGGCTGAGGCAAATGTGCAGGAAGCCTTGAGGGCATTCTAGTGAGCCCCTTGCCTATTTCTAAAGCTTTGTCCTGCTGCTTTTCTGTCTGTGCTATAGGAATGGGGTTTTCCCTTGCTGGGTTCTTAAACCTATTGAAGCCTTCTTGTGAGACAAATTAATGCAGGTCCAATTGTTTACATTACATTTATTGTATCAAAAGAGAGATTTTTCTTTTAAAGACAATGCATCTTTATGGAATATAGTTTATGTAATTTGGCCCTGTCAAATGATCTTTGACTAACCGAGGCCAGACTGAACATACTCTTTCCTTCCTATTTTACAATTGGGGAAGGAAATATTTTCCAAACTGGAAACATGAATGCCTTCATCTTTCATGTGGTGATAAAGTTCCAAGTGCACCCTCTGGGTAGGATGAAACAGCTCTGTAATTCTCAGATTCAATATCTCTCTACCCTGAATGTAGAATCATTCTTTCTGGTCCTCATATTACTACAATGAGTCTCCTAAGGTGAAAAAAGCAGAGAGAAATTAAAGGTTGCTTGAATACTTGCTTGTTCTTGAACATAAGTTCATCTGCATGGCCTACTGCAACTGGAATTCCAGAGGGGTCTGCTAGTCAGGGTATTTTTGAACAGAGAAGATGCATTTATGAAAAGAATTCTTATTTTTTCTAAGCAGCAATCTCACTGACCTGAATCTTGTGGTGTGGGAGAATTGTCTGTATTCTGTCAATCATGTTTTAAATAAACGCCGATTGGCCTGGCAGGAAGTATAGGTGGGAAAACCAGACAGGAAGTAGAAATGATGCAATGAGAACAGGAGAATTCTGGGAAGCAGGAAGCTCGCTCCCCACTCCTGCCTAGATCACCGAAGCAGCAGGATGTGATCTACCCCACTGAAAAAGGTACTAACATGGCTAGCAAAGATCAGAAAAATGGGTTAATCAAGATGTGAGAGTTGGCCAGTGAGATGCTAGAGCTTACCAATCAGTTTATAATTTATGGAGACCTATGTGTGATTTTCTTTGGGGCTTGCCGGTTGTGGGGAACCGGGCAGGACAGAAACACAAACAAGCCAGCTTTCATGTTACAATCTTGTATTGAAGTTCTTAGCTTAGGCTGAAAGGTTACACAGTTTGGTGTATTGTATGTTACAGACACTAACATGCATCATTTCATATTAGTCACAAGCTGGACTTTATGAATTTTCTTTCCCAATGTCATCTTGTGTAGAACAGAAATTATTCTACTGCAAAATTCATTATTTACAAATGATTGCTGCTTTTCTGGAAGATTATTGTAATATATGTTGAAACAAAAGGATGATTTCCTATAAACCTGTGAACAACTTGTCTCTTGCTCAGCATTGGAAAGTTATCAGTTGAAAAAGCCCTGGATTTAACCCTGTACTTGAAAAATGAAACAGAAATTATGCCTGTATTCCAAGGTTTGAATGAACTGATACCTATGTATAAGTTAATGGAGAAAAGAGATATGAGTGAAGTGGAAACTCAATTCAAGGTAATACCTGAGATGAATCAAATAGCTATAGTATAATTATAATTTTCTTAAGGATAAAAACATGCTTATTATTATATGTATTTGAATATATGTACATAAAAATAGACATATATGTCCTCTTATCCATTAAGAAAAAGCAATAAAAATTCAGTTTGGATTGACTAACGAAGGTTAGAATTTGATACTAAATAGAAATAGTGGTGTTAGATTCTGTACTTAATTTTCATGTTTTCCCCCATAAGTATTTCATTTGATTTGACATATCTGTTATAATTACTAATCCTGATGTTGTCCAGGACTCTAAGTGGCACTTGAAGAAGAGACCCTAAGTTGCTACTTTCTTTAATCAAATATTGTGAGGATCTGTATACTTTGCTCATAAGTTTAGTCTGTTCATCCTGATTCAAGTAGATGGAATATTTTAGAAATGATTACTGTAATAATATTAAAATCATTTTTTTTGTTTTTCTCCCCTTTTAAAACTAAGTGAAATAGAGTTGCAAACTTTTAAACAAGTGGGGTTGAGCTTTAAAGATTATTTCCATTTGATCACTCACTTAAAATTATTAAAATACATTCAATATGTATTTATGTGATGTTTCTCATCACCAGGAGAACTAGGCTGTGTGACTAGGAACTGCTGTGACACTACCCATAATACCTGTCACTATTCCCATCATCCTTCACAGGCCTTCCTTCTCAGGCTGCTGAAGGACCTTATTGACAAGCAGATGTGGACAGATGAGGGCTCTGTCTCAGAGAGGATGCTCAGGAGCCAGCTCCTCCTCCTTGCATGTGTACGCAAGTATCAGCCCTGTGTGCAGAAGGCAGAGGGCTATTTCCAAGAGTGGAAGGCATCCAATGGAAACTTGAGGTCAGTTCTCACTGGACAGGTTGTGTAAAAAGGGTATCTTTCCTGTTTCTCATCGTTGGCACTAACCATAGGGAGAAGCTGGATAGACAAGTCTTCCCTACTTCATGTTTTTGGAAAATAAATTGACTTTTCAAACTAATACTTTCAAATTTCTGAACTTTCTATTTTCAGAAATGCAACAAAGAACTTCTCTATGCCTAAAAATCAATGGCTTGGGTGGAGTTAGAACATGATTACAGATGCCAGGTGGTGGTGGTGCATGCCTTTAATCCCAGTACTAGCAGATCTCTGTGAGTGCAAGGCCAGCCTGGTCTACAGAGCTAGTTCTAGTACAGCTAGGGTTATTACACAGTGAAACCCTGTCCCTTGTCTCGAAAAACCAAACCCAAAAAGCAAGCACAATTACAGTAACTCTACTCTATGATGCAGTGTGTGTGAGATGACTGAACAGACATGGCCATGGCAGGCTAGAATAGAGGCAATGTATTTTACAGGAGTTTCTGTCTTCCAGAGCCCTCTCCAGGGTGTCTGGTAGCATAGGCTCTGCAGTGTCTTCAGTCTCCACTCCTGCCAGCCTTTTTGTGTTTGGAATTTAATGGCATCCAGGAATCATTTATGGCACCATATGGATACTTGCCTTTAAAAAGGACATTTTTTTTTAACAAAGAAAAGAAAACAAACTATCTTTTTTCATTTTACCTTACCAATCTCAGTTTCCACTCCTTTCCCTCCTCCCATTTCCACCACTCCCCGCTCCCCCCCAGACCCCATCTCCCATCCACTCCTCAGAGAGGGTAAGGCACATTGCTTTGGGGAAGGTCCAAAGCCCTCCCTACTATATCTAGGCTGAGCAAGGTATCCATCCAAAAAGAATGAATTCCCAAAAAAGCCAGTATATGCAGTAGGGATAAATCCTGATGCCACTGCCAGTGACCCCGCGTCTGCCCCAGCCATGCAACTGTCAACCACATTCAGAGGGACTAGTTTGGTTCTATGCTGGTTCTTTCCCTGTCTGGATGGAGTTGGTGAGCTTCCATTAGCTCAGGTAAACTGTTTCAGCAGATGTCCCCATCATGGTCTTGACCTCTTTGCTCATATTCTAAATGACATGTTTACCAACCATAATGCTATTGAGATTCCTGAATTTTCTACATGAACTAAATTTTGAATGTCAATTGAATATATTTCTTATCATTTAAAATATAGATGTGTAGGCATGTATGAGTGATATTTTTAACTGTATTTCTGAGGCTGCTCAAATCTAATTTTAGACATTTTCTCTTGCCTGTTTTCTTTAAAGTATAACAGAAGGAAACAGTAATTTATGGTTTCAGACGTGAGCCTGTGATCATGAAATTAGTTCTTCATTGCTATTATGTATATAAAGAAGACTTGCTCTGTCTCAGGATCTTATAGTTTTATTCTTTCCCATAGCCTCCCTATTGATGTGACCTTGGCAGTGTTTGCTGTGGGGGCCCAGAGCACAGAAGGATGGGATTTTCTTTATAGTAAATATCAGTCATCTTTGTCTAGTACTGAGAAAAGCCAAATTGAATTTGCCCTCTGCACAAGCCAAGATCCAGAAAAGCTCCAGTGGTGAGTCATGCATTGATGTCCACATGGCCAGGAAAAATTGAATGATATAGATCATTATGGCACTAGTTTTTGCTCTATTTCCCAGGAATTATTTATTCTACTGGAAACATTCTGTAAATGGCACATGGACACACACCTAATGAGGATGCCATGTTTTTAAAACGAAGTATTGGGAAAATATTTAAGCATGTGTATTGTGTGTAACATATTTGAAGTATTTAGGAATATTTCTAGAAGTTGTTTTGAGGAAATGAGGTAATATATGGTGTAGGTCTTGTAGACACTATGTAAATGTTAGCTCTTAATCATGTTGCTAGAGTGGGTTTATTGAGACTCTACCAGTTTACCTTTTGGGTCTTTATTATTGATAAACAGAATTATTTCTTTTATAAATTACTTTATTGAACATTTTTGTAACTCTTCAACCAATTATAATTCATTAGTAACATTTCTTCTTTTAATCATTATAGGCTTCTAGATCAAAGTTTTAAAGGAGAGATAATAAAAACTCAGGAATTTCCACATATTCTCATACTCATTGGTAGAAACCCAGTGGGGTATCCATTGGCCTGGAAGTTTCTGAGGGAAAATTGGAATAAGCTTGTACAAAAGTAAGTAATGCCAAAAATTGTGGTGGGACTGAATGCATTCTTTTACACCCTACCCCATGTGTGTGTTTAAACTTTGCTATTTATATGAAGGAGTATCTTAGGTTGAAGATAACTTTCCAAATTAAAATATCCCTATGTAATTTAAAATCCGAGTCCATTGCTAACCCATATACTCAGTGATCTGCCTCATCCTGTGTTCCTCCACTTGTCTGAAGCCTCCCTCCTGCAAGGTCAGTGTAGCTTTCCCGTAACTCTTAAAACTGTATAAACTCTTAACTGTATAAAGCTGTCATTTTCTTTAGGTTCTTAATCTTAATTCTTGATATGGATTATATTTTAAAAGTAGATTGTTGAAATGCTATTGGATATATAAGACACTTAACATGTAAATTGAATAGACAGCTTTTGTCATTTCTAGGTTTGAACTTGGCTCAGCAACTATAGCTCATATGGTTATGGGAACGACAGACCAGTTTTCCACCAGAGCACGTCTTGAAGAGGTAACAGGCATGTGTGTGAGAAATTCCTTCTTTTGAACTTAAGTATCAGTTAGCTCCTATAAAAGAGCAGGAAAACATTTGTGGTATTTTAGACTGAATCTTGTCATTTGATCCAAGTTTTGAGTTCCTGTGTATATGCCTCTCATGATAAAAGCTTTGCTCTGCAATTAAAAACTTGGATTTTGCCAGGTTTTGTGGCATACACGTTTAAGCCAAGCACTTTGGAGGCAGCAGTAGGCAGATATCTCTGAGTTAAAAGTCAGCCTAGTCTACAAAACAAATATCAGGCTAGTTAGGATTACATAGTGACATCTTGTCTCAAAACAAAATAAAAAACAACAAAAACTTTTCAACTTAAGAAAAATGACCCAAAACAATGGGCCCTTGTTTAGAGAAGTTAAAAGTAAATCCCAGAGGTGTGGATGGCTGAAGTGGTGAAAGAGGCAGAGAAGGCCCAGGTGCTTCAGTATCCAAGGTCATGTTTCTATCCTCATTTATAACATCATGTACTTCCCAAAAGAATCTTAGGCATCTATAAGATCCATCTATAAAATAAATATCAAAGAACAGAAAGCTGCAAAGAAGACAGGAGGTAAGTATATGAGGAACCTACTCTGAAGATTCCTATTGCAGTGACATCTGACAGTTATTATGGAGCTTCCCAGTGATCAGGCAAAAATAAGAAATTGGTATGAAACTGTCTGGTAAGATAGACTGAGAACACATATATAAGTTCTACAAAAAGAGACATTCTTCCACCCTTCTAAGCAGAGAAGCATGTCTTAATTGGGTATTCAGCTGGATCTGTGTGGCAGAAGACACAGTCTGGGATCAGGAGAACTGTTAAAGGCTGGCATTGATAGAGCTTGTGTAGAAGTCCACATTTGAGCCATGACATCACAACAGGCTCTTTGAGGATAAATGAAATATTTCAGACAATAAGGGAAATGAAATTATTGCTGTCTTATTGTTGACAAGTACCCAAAGTGATGAGGAATCAATCTTGTGTTCTACAACAGTACACAGAGCTGAAGCACAGGGCAGGGCACAGAGAAGTGGGTGTCTCTTTTCTTCCCCAGAAACTGGACTCTCAAGTAATTTTAAAACAATTCTGCATCATTTCTCACTGGAACTTGATCTTTCTAAAAGTCATACTTTCTCCTACCTGCTATTGGAGAACTCATAACATGGTATTATGTTATGGGTTTTTGAGGAGTTAGCTGTCTGAAATTCATGCTAAAAAAAATACATCGTGGCCTATACTTGCTTCCTAACTACAAATAACAGATTAATAATACTGAAAATTTATGGGTTATTGTTAAGAACTCTTGAAGGTACAAGGAAATCGTACAATTTTCAGTGCTTTGGTAAAGGCAGCCTATCTATATCATTTGAACTTAAGAGTTGAGATACCTCGTGATGCAACAAGAACAAAGATACGTTTTGAGGAGAGAGTACTGCAGTCTCTTATCTATCTCTCCAGAACTGTGGGCAACTCTATGTAGATACTGGCAAAATATTGGCAAAGTTTGGAATCTTACCACCATAACTAGTTAAGAGCCCCATTCCTCATAGTGTTGGCAGTAATATAGGCCAGAGCACCAAAGAAAGATTGCATTTATATCATCAATAATGTTTTCCATGGCAAAGAAGACTCTGCACATTCTGCCTTTCAGATATCATATTTAAAACTTAAGTTTGCATCTCTGTATAACAGAATTCATATTAAATAGACACAGTCAATTAAACCTTCATTATGAAATGGTATATGCAAAGCATTTTAAAGTCTGGCAACTGTGAATAAATAAAAGAGCTACAGGAAAAAAAGAAGCTGACATGTGTCATGAGCTCATTTTGTGTAGCTCAGCCTTAAGTGATATGTAATTGTAACCAGACGCCTTGGACTTCCTTCTATATAGAATGTTATCAAATGCTGGAATTCTGCCTTGACTTTTAACTGGCCTTAAATAACCATTCGCTTAATGTAATAAACTAATGCTTTTAAAATTCACTTTTTCTTCCCAAGGTAAAAGGATTCTTTAGCTCCTTGAAAGAAAATGGTTCTCAGCTCCGTTGTGTTCAACAAACCATTGAGGCCATTGAGGAAAACATACGATGGATGGATAAGAATTTTGAAAAAATCAGGCTATGGCTGCAAAAAGAGAAGTTGGAAATGTGACAGTTTGTTTCTTGCCAAGTTTCTGTGATTTATAATCAGCAAAACATTGTCCAATTTGAGTATTTTCAAGCTAAAGATGGTTGTTTTAGTTCCCACTGAAGATATTTTCTTATTTCATTTGACTTGATCATGTCTGAGAAAAGTTTGTCTTCAATGTCTGTTGCTGCCATGGGTCTGGCTAAGATGTGGCCCTGCTGTGTAAACCCAAGTGCCCAGTTCCTTGCCACAGAAAAGCCAAAGGAGTTCTTCTCATTTCGTACTTTATGCTTCCACCCCCACAGCTTGCAAACCCCTGTGCCTTCTGTGTCAGTCATTCATCAATGTCTCTGCAAGACTGGATAGTGAGGCACGTGTGTAGCAGATACTAGAATCATCCACCACACTGGAAAATGGCAGTGTGCCAACCCTCCTATTGCTCTCCCTAAATCTACTGTCCACCCTGTCTTCCTGGCCTCATGTATGGGTGTTGCCTTGTAGGGTCCAGTTTACCAGCCATCTTTGCCTTCTGGGTTTTTACTGATAGACAACCCTAGAAGTTTGGAGTTGGAATCCAGGAGGGAGGGGATAGAGGTTTTACTTCTGAGATAGCCTTCTTTTCCACATAGTCCTTTTCTGTTTCTTGTCTGTAGTAATTGCCTCCTCTATGTCCACTCAGGGCGGGACAAGAGCAGGAACCTGGTGATACCTGTCATGGTAGTACTGGTCATTTTTACACACCCTACTTGAACTTTTGTAAAAATGTACATTTAGAACCTTCCTTGATAAGTCAGATATGAGAGCCACATACTTCCTTTGGAATCTCACTTCTGAAAAAAAAACAAAACAAAACAGTGCACTCAGGTATGTATCAGAAATACCCTTCATTTTAAGATGTACTAGAAAGTCATTGATCCTTAAGTAGGGAATACTGTTTTAAATTCCTGAAGAACTCATATTGGCACTTATTGCAAATACATCTTTGAGGACTCATCAATAAAGGATAATATAAACAACATGCTTATATTAATACAAGGAAAGAATTCTTTAAGTCTTATATAAGAATTTTAAGATGTATAGCATAAATTACAGGATAAATAAATATTACCAATAAGAATGATGTCAAAATATAATGCTGTAATATATGATAAAAAAGAGAGATTTTAGGGGTAGGGGGCTCAATTATCATATTTTCATTGCTCTAACAAAATATCTGAGATAATCAGCTTAAATGAGAAAAGATTTTGTCTCAGTGTTTTTAGCCTAAGGTTTGCTGGCTCTGTTGTTACTGGCCTATTATTAGGGAAGAATAGTTACCCAGTAGTGGCCAGAAAATAGGACCAGAGAGGTGTCTAGGGACACCATGTACTGTATCACAGCATACTGTCAAAGCCATACTCCCACAGACTAGACCATTTCCTCCAACTAACACCTACCTCCTAATAGCCCATTCAAGTATGAAGTCATAAATAAATTGGTGACTGCAAATGGATTAACCTACTAAGGAGCTGAGCCCTCATGGTCCAGTCCCCTCTTTTCCTATTGCCAACTGGGAACCAAGACTTCAACATGTGAGTCTCCTGGAGGGACACTTCATATCTAAACCACAACAAATGTGTTTACAATTCTATTTTTTATATTGACTGCATATGAAGGCTTGAGAATAAAATAAAAATAATCCACTAATAATTTGTTTCCACAGAGTACATCTAAAAAAGAACATATAGCCAAGACTTTCCTGTAAAATATTTTCCTTTAATTGCATTTTATATCTTAATTAAAGAAACACAAATACTTATTTGGTCACTTTCACTTTTGGAAAATCTCATTTCCTAAACAGATAAAATGTTACATGTGCAGCAACTGTTTGGTAATAAAATCCACCTGTTCTTTACTTCTAAGGAAATAGTTGCAATTATTTTCTTTTGACCAAGAGAATTTAAAAATAAAAGGTTAAAGAGAATAAAAAAGGATTTATTTAGATCTCATGGCTTATGCAAGTCACCGTGAGTTACCATCAAATGCCCAATTCTTGAGGATATTCCTAATTAAGAAAAATATTTTAGGTACCTTAAGTGTACATGAGATTTTGCAGGCACTCTTAAATTTATGTTATTTTGTTATCATTTAAAAATATTCCTATATGTGCATGGACATTTGTATACTACAGTCATAGCCTTGGAGGTGTATTTTTCAATGTCAAAGGTTTCAGCATATTTTTAGAAACAAAAGGAACAAACATCTATACTGCCCAGATTCAGGTATTAGACACCAATAGGTTCAAATCTCTTAGGCAGTATATTCTTTTCTTGTCAGTGCCTTGAAAACAGAACAGTGACCACCCTTTTTATAGAACTAGGAATTCAACGTTTGTGTGGGTAGAATTTGACATTTAAATGCTGCATGGATGATTTGTACTTTTGGAGACAGTTACAAATATCATGTTCAATTTAAGTATTTTACTTTTGCTTGGTCTTACCTGCCCCCACCCCCAGGAATTACTGGTGATGTTAATTATGTTTAGTGAAGTTAATTAAATCCCAATAAAATCTTTTCATTTGTATCAAAGAAGGCTGTGATCTTTGGAAACAAGAAAGTTGAAGTCTGGTTTATAAATACCTGACATCTTTTCCAGCATTCAATGCCAAGAAACATAGATGGAATTGTTTATCAAAATTCCATCACTGACACTAGTACATTGCTCAGAAAAATCTGAGGTACTCTTCAAAGATGTTAGGATACCTTAACCTACTTTGAAATAAAAGCAGATTTTAAATTTCAGTATGTACATACTGTGTGTGCATTATTTTTAAAGAAATTCATTTTTGTGTTTCATAAATTTGACTCCTATAAAGCCACATATAGACAATGTGGCCAATGTCTCTAAGCGAACGATTGCAATCTGGGGTTCATGTAGACAGTGGAACCACAGTTTAATGATATGGTAAACCAATATAGTTCAAACCATATGAGTATTCTAAGAATCCCAACTTTATTGCTGAAACTTGCTGTGCACTGACATCACTATCCTGTGCTTTGCTCTTGTGCTGACTTAATTCAAGTCTTAGTGTATCCTTTCTGTCTCAAGTCTCTTCTGTCCTCATTCCTAGTAAAGGAGAGATCAGTTACGAAAGATTGGTGTTCCCTGGTTTACCCAGGTTATCTATCATTAATTTATTACTAGCAGCGCCAAAGGAGTTATGTGCCCAATATACAATATTTTATATTTGACTTATCAACATTAACCCAAAAGATACATCAAATACAGTTCAAAAGCCCGAGAGAAAAAGAGGTAATAAGAAATCAGAATACTGACAAAAGATGAGAGCATTATTTTTCAAATGCTAAAAAAATTAAGTGCAAACCAAAAATACTAATGAGATTTACAGGTACTGAATGTATAATGTGCAAAATTTTGCAAAGGTTTTCCGGGTTTTTCTTTTCTTTTCTTTTTTTTTTTTTTGGTGTTTTAAGAAACTATGAGATATGTTTCTTACAAATATAAATCTTTCTCCCACCTAAAGGTAATTAAAAATCTTTGAAGTTTATCCATACCTATATAGCAACACAGGTGAACCAGAGACATTCATTTTCTTTTTGAAAAAGAGTAACAAACCAATGTTTAAGATGTTCAAAGGCATCACAAATACTACTACATAGAAGCCACCCAGAAAAATTGTCACCAAAGCGTTTGTTCTTCAAATCAGCATCCACCAGTTGAAAAAGTTTTATTCAGATACCCTGAAAATACAAGGAAATACAATTATTTTCTTAATATAAAATCCTCATTTACCTCGGAAGATGTGCAGCAGCTCGAGGTGGTGTGCACTGGCTCCTCTACAGAACATGACATGGATCATGGGGAAAGTGGAGCCGATCTAACCCACATTTTTCTTTTAAAAGATTCCCACTTCACATTTTCATTTGGGTGTTTATGCCACAGTCTGAATGTGGATATTAGAAGGCGTCGTTCGTGGATCTACCACGTGGGTCCCAAGGGTGGAACCTGCATAGTCAGGCTTCGTGCCGTGCCATCCCCATTTCATTTTCTTTCTTCTCTCTCTCTCTCTCTCTCTCTCTCTCTCTCTCTCTGTCTCTCTCTCTCTCTCTCTTTTTTTTTTAGGCTTTGTTGGGTAAGCAGTTTCATTTTATGGCTTATAAGAAGGCCAGAGCCCATCTATTGAAGAATAGGTCAGAATCAATCATTGTTCTTTCCAAATTAACAAAGTTAAAGGTTAAACTCTATGGCTCCCAAACTCTATGGTTTCTACCACTCGACATGATTGTTATTTCAGAAACCAATTAATGTCATTTTGCTACAAACTGTAATACATTAATTTGCTTTGCAACAAAAGTCTGTATTTCAAAAATTCTACTAGGTTCTGATGTATGATTTTCTTTAAAAGTCTGAGTACTTTAAAAGGTTTTTTGTTTTATTTTGTTTTGTTTTGCTTTTTGATTTTGGTTTCTCAAGACAGGCTTCTACGTATAGCCCTGTCTGTCCTGGAACTCTGTAGACCATGCTGGTCTTGAACTTACAAAGATCCACCATCTTCCATCTCCTGAGTGGTGGAATTAATGGTGTGTGCCACCACTACTCAGCTCTTAAAGAGCTCTTAATCACATAAATTTTGTTTTTAAATTCTAGTAGCACAATAATCCCTTTAGTGCCTTTTAGAGAAGGGAATGCTTTGAACTTTGCAACATTTCCTGAGAGTAGACCACAACAAGTCTGAAATACTCAAGAGAGAAACTTCATGTCTCTTCCCATAATGCAAGCTGCTAGAATGGACAGTTATTGTTATTTACAGAAAAAACTCAACTTACCAAATGTGTAACTTTAACTTTCCTTTTTGTCAGCCTTTGGACCGGACGCTTCTTCTGTCTTCTAAGGAGGAAGCAAAGCTAGAGTCAGTGCTTTCATTTCTAAATGAAATCAGTTCTAAATCACTGTTTCACCAGGAAACTTTAATGAAAAAAAAAATGGGCTCCTAAGGATTAAACAAACAGGTAGTAAAAAGGGTGGGGTGAGAGCTAGGGATAAAATAGCCTAGTCTATGACACAAACAGACTCTGTCCTTCCCACTCAGGTTTTAAGTTATAAGCTATAAGTAGCCGTAAATCATCCTAAATTTTCCACTTTAAACTTATTTTTTTATTGTCCGTATAAGAAAGCTTTCAAGTGCAGAAGTGTTTCTGGAATTAGGACAGTGTTTCACCATCCCACCGTGACCCTGTCTTTTTCCGCATTGAGAAGGGGCTGGCTGACTCATCTCCACTGTGTAGGGAGGGCAATTACATTTTCTGGTTTTCCTAAATGGGTTGGTCAGGCACTTTTGTAATTATAATTAAAAGATAAGGAATTAATAATTTAACCTGAGACATAATATTCTTGTGCCCTGTGATGAAATCAGTTATATAAAGACTTCATTAGCTTGTTCCTAAGAAATGCTGATGACTCAATGTAAAAAAGAGGCCATGAATTTGGAAGAGAGTGAGGAAGGATATATTGGAGGAAGGACTGGGAAGGGCGCATTGATTTAATTATAATCTCAAAAAGAAAAGAGTAACTAGTCTATTAGGGTCTTTTATTTCTATTATGGTTCAAATGAAGATTGTAGTTATTTAAAATAAGACATACATAGAATTGGAAGGAACTTAAAAATTGTCTGAGCCAATATCCATCTCTGACTCAGCTTGAGAAATTTTAGTGATAGGAGATGTGCAACCATGATGCTACATATGTCCAGTTCTCAACTTTCACCCATTAGTTTTCATCCTACTTTGTACAACACAGAAAGTTAGGTACTGCTATATGAATTGGA